AAAGAAACTCCACAAGGAAGGCTCTCCTTGTGGCAATCAGCCCTTAAATGAGGTCTAAGAGAGAGAAGGAGTCAGACTCCACCCCTTTGAGTCACACAGCTGAATTGCCTTCACCTGTGCACCCAGGGCTGACTGGGTCCTTTCCCCAGGTGCTCAATCAGTGGTTCAGGCCATGAACTCAACAGTTCCTACACATATCTACATAGTTGACTTAGAAAAATTCAGAACTCATAAACTGATTAAAACTTGCTGATTTCAATTTTAGTGATGTATGGGAACTGTTGATCACAGCCTGAACCTCTGATTGACCACCTGAGGTAAGCAGTGATTCAGCTGCGGGAGCACAGGTGAAGGCAATTCACCTGTGCTACTGGAAGGGGTAGAGCCTGGCTCCACCTCTCCTAGATCCCATTTAAGGGCTGACTGCCACTAAGGAAGGATCTCTTTCTGGAGATTTGCTCCTCATGGAATTTGTTACAAATCTACAACACCAGTGAGCATTTTTCATTTATTATCTTTCCACTGTGATAAGCCTACTTGGACTAACCTCTATACACCTATTGATTGTACAAGTGAGAATCCTAAAAACACTTGTCTCAAATTCTCAGTGTTGATCACACTGTTAAAAGGAGCACGGACTCACAAAATCTGGAAAACAGCGACTGGAATACAGTGCTCTTTCTTCTGTGTCTTTGTTTGTTTGTTTTAATATGTACCACAAATAATTTTCACCAGAAGCTAGCATATCTAACTTTTAAAGCAATCACTGAGACCAGAATCTCTGAAGCCTTTTAAACAGTAAAACTAATCATAAATGCTGTGAAATTTCATATTTTTTTTTCCTTTTGGATACATACCTCAGCTACAACAGATATAATAGGAATTCAGAAGTGTTAAATCTCATGCTAATACATGTCTACTCTTACTTACTCTACTACACACAGCGCAAAGGACAACACTGTCCTACAATGATGCACTGATAATTCATTGATAGTGCAGGTGCCTCCCACACTGGCAACCGAATTCAACCAGAAATCCTTTAATGAGCACATGCAAAATGTGTAGCAACTTTGCACAGCTGCTCCTTAAACAGCAAAGCTGTGCAGGCTTTTTGATTAGCTTACATGCTAATGTTTTCCTACACCACTGTTATATTTTACCATGCTAATGTTTTCCTACACCACTGTTATATTTTACCATCTTTAAAAAACAACAGGTAAAATAACAGATAACAAAAAAACAAAGCACCACTTCAGACTGTTTAATGTTAGAAAAAGAGAACGTACATTTCTATGTCCCATCTAATTTTTTTAAACATAGATGATGAAACTTTTTTAAACAATGATGAAAAATGATGACTATTCAGTCACAACCGGTGTTTTGGCTTAAAAGCTTGAGCTCCACCTGCTGACAAGTTTTTCCAGATTACAGAGCCAGAGTACCGAGTCTTAGTTTTACCAATGGTTACAGCATAATGCAAAATCATAGAATCAGAAAGCTTGGAAAAGACCTCCAAGACCATCTTGTCCAACCATCCACCTGCTAGCAATATGTGCCATTTCACCATGTGCCTTACAACATCTAAACGTATCTTGAACATCTCCAGGGACAGTGACTACATGAACTACAATTACGCTGAAATAGCATAATTGCTGTATTCTACTTAAAAGACAGGTAGTTCTCAGGAAAAAAAAAAACAAAAAAACACCAAACCCAAAAACCTCTAGAATACTGTTCTGTACTGTCACAGTAACTCTTTCTACCATATAAGGATACGGGAAGACATACATTACTGTGGCATACCAATTTTCTAGTCAACACTGATTTTCTCAATGTAACCACCTAAAATGAAACGCAAACCACTGCTGCACATTTCAGTAAGTTATACTTGCACTGCAAAGCTCCAATTATTGTCAATACTTCTATTTCTAATCAGAAGATTAAATAATACTAGAGTTTTCTTGTTATTTTCTGTTTTAATTGTAGACTATTGTCACATGCTTAAAATAGCAAGTGAAATATACGTACACTAAGACAAGTGACAGACAATGCATTCATTGACTAAACACTGATAATCTAGCAGAAGCTTCCAGTTAAATTTTGTGACAGTGACATAATCTTTAAAAATTTTGATACTTCATTTTGATACATCATTTTGGCATAAATACAGTTGCTTTACTAGAAATAACAATCTATTTCACAGTATTTATCTCCTTCCAGTAGACAGTAGAGATGAATCAGAAACATAGGAAGTTTCAAAACAAAATACAGGTTACCTAACTCTATCTACAAAATCACATAAAACAGTGTTTCAGAGCCAGGCTACTTGTGAGAGTCATACAATGCTATTACTCATTCTAAGAGATGAAAAACAAAACAATTTGAAAAAACTACTCCCTTTTGATACTGGCTCCATTTATGTGGCAACAAATAAATGCTTTATATAAAGCAGTATGCAATTTTAAACTTAAAATAACCCCAAACATACAAAAACCTCAACATGCACTCACAACATAAACCAAACAAAAAATTAGTCATTACTAGGAAAACAATTTTCAAATCACACATTTACAACAAATTTTTCAAGAAGAGCAAATAAGTACAATCAAATGTAATATCACTCTACATTTAGATTACACAGACTTCAAGACTTCAGACTTCAAACTCTTCAGGGAACTGCTTGGCAGGGTGACGCGGGCTAAAGCCCTGGAGGGAAGAGGGGCCCAAAAAAACTAGTCAGTGTTCAAGGACCACCTCCTCCAAGCCCAGAAGCAGTGCATCCCAAGAAAAAAAGACAGCAGGCAAGGACACCAGGAGGCCTCCATGGATCAGTGAGAAGATTGTGAACTTAATTAAGCACAAAAAGAAAGCCTTAGGGAGGGGAAGCAGGCAGGCCAGAGAAGACATGGGCCCAGAAGGAAACTGGAGAACTGGACACAAGGGATACAGAGAAAGCTGAGGTGCCCAATACTTCCTTGCCTCAGACTTCACTACCAAGTGTCCTAGCTGCACCACTCAAGTTACAGAAAGTAAAGGTATGAACCTGGACAAGGAAAATCTGCCTACTGTAAATGAAGATCAGGTTCGAGGCCATCTAAGAAGCTGAAGGTGTACAAGACCATGGGACCTGATGAGATTCATCCATGGGTTCTGAGGGAACTGGCAGATAAAGTTGCCAAGCCACTATCCATCAGATTTGAAAGGTCATGGCAGCCTAAAAGGGGAAACATAACCCCCATTTTCAAGAAGAGGAAAAAAAGAAGATCCAGGGAACTACAGGCCAGTCAGTCTAATCTCTGTGCCTAGCAAGATCATGGAGTGGATCCTCCTGAACACATGGAAAATAAAGATGAGGTGATTGGTGGTAACCAACATGGCTTCAACAGGGGCAAGTCAAGCCTGACATCCTGGTGGCATTCTACAATGGAGTTACAGCATCAGTGGATAAATAATTGGCGTCATCTACCCAGACTTTTGCAAAGTGCACGAGACCGTTCCACATGACATCCTGGTCACCAAACTGGAGAAAAATGGATTTGATGGACGGACCACTCGCTGGATAAGGAATTGGCTGGATGGCTGCACTCACAGTGTTAGTGGTCAACAGCAGTGATGAATGGCATTCCTCATGGACTGGTGCGAGGACCAGTGTTATTTAACATCTGTGTAGGTGACGTGGACAGTGGGATCAAGCATACCTCCAGCAAATTTGCAGACGACAACAAGCTGAGAAGTACAACTCACATACTAGAGGGAAGAGATGCTATCCAGAGGGATCTAGACAGGCTTGAGACATGGGTGCATGCTAACCTCATGAAGTACAACAAGGCCACGTGAAAGGTCCTGCATTTTGGTTGAGGCAATCCCAAGCACATGCAGGTTGGGGAAAAAACAGCTTGAGAGAAGCTCTCAGGAGAAGGATTTGCGAATGTCAGCTGATGAAAGAGTCAACATGAGCTGCCAATGAGTGCTTGCAGCCCAATCCAATTCTACCCTGAGCTGCACCAAAAGAAGAGCCAGCCCCAGCAGACTGAGGCAGGTGATCCTGCCCTCAATGCTTGTGAGGCCTCACCTGGAGTTTATAATCCAGTGGAGGGGAATAAACTTTTTACAAGGCTAGACAGAAATACGACAAGGGGGAATGATTTTAAGGTCAAGGAGGGAAGGCATAGACTAAACGACAGGGGGAAGTTCTTCACAGAGGTGAAGGTGCCCAGTGAGGCTGTGGATGCCCCATCCCTGGAGGTGTTTAAGACCAGGTTAGATGGAACCCTGGGCAACCTGGTCCAGTTACCAAATCTGGAGTTTGGTAGCCCTATCTCTGGCAGGGGAGTTGGAAATCTATGATCCTTGGTGTCCCTTCCAACCCAAGCCATTCTATGATTCTATGATTACTATCTCAACACAACTGCATATAATTAAGAAAGGGAAGTCCAGAAGTTTATTTTTATTATAAACAGCCATCTAAAATTAAGAGGCCATTTAAAAATAAGCTGCAAGGAATCGAGTGTTAGCAAGTAAGAGTTAAAAGAAATGATTACAGTACGTGAAGTTAATTTTTCAGTGACATAATGTATGCAGTATTCCAACAGCTTTTATCTGTTAGTTTTCTGTCTACAACTGCGAACATATTGCTTCAACAAAGCCAACAAAATTGTCAATAACTCATACTCATGTTTATTAAATCTATTTAAAGATTTACACTTTTAATTGTAAAACAATGTAATGAGAAGTTAAGTCTCTAGGGTGCAGGAGGCCAAATTAAGTCTGCAGATATACGAAGAGTAATGTAAATTACTGCAACTTAAAAATAAATAAATAAATAAATAAACAGATAAATAAATAAATAGAACCACACAACTGAATTGTTTTTCCAACTAGTCAGTTTTGGAAAATGTAAAGAGAAGTTAATTCACACCAGTCATCCATTTATGTGTCATGAATTGCTGATCTAAGGAACAATATATGATAGTAAGACTGTATAATTCAGTAAAGCTTACCATAGAAGTGACTGATCTGGCATCTTCTTCATAATTCACTACAGGTGGTGGTTCTTTCCCATCGTTCTCTTGCACTTTTTGTTCCAGTAGTTCTTTCTGTGCTGCAAATTTTGCCTCAGAGCATCTTAATTGCTGAACAGTTTGCTTAAGTTCTTCCAGTGCTTGCTTTTGGCTCAGCAAAAGAACAATACTGAAAAGAAAATTAACTTTAAAATGCACATAATTTAAGGTATATTTTTTATTTTATGAAAGCTTAAAAAAAAAAAAAAGTGTTTTTTTCTTATCTTCTATGAGTGATTTTCACTCTGCTCTGCATATTTCTCTGTTTTTCAGCAGCTATTGAAATCATATCCCATAATCTACTTGTGGTCTCTCTTACAGCACTATTACACAGTATTTTACCGTTAACATACAAGAGAACACAAGAGTATTTTCACATTCCCACTTGTTACCTTTGACCTTACTCCAAATGCAGAGAAACAGCTGCCCTCAACTACTATACGTTTTCATTATTGTTTGTATAAATTTACGTTCTGATTAACCTCTGGAGGTTAGACCTGCACAGCAATCTTCTAACCTCAACCATTCTGTGACAGTCAACAAGGTTTTCACCTTCCTTGAAGGCCACTAGAGAACCATTCTGCGTAGATTAAAAAAAAATAGCCCCAGACCATTCAGTTCTCCCAGAAGTGACCCATGTGAATAAGAGAAACACATACCTAGCACTGAGACTATCAGGTACAAACTCAGCCTTAGAAGCGTGAGACAACACCAATGAAATAACAGAAAGCTGATTTCCTAATAATGAATATGCAGAAGATCAATTAAATGAAGGTGGCCATAAAACAGATCTTCACATAAAGGTATGAGAGAACACGCACACTTAACCTCAATAGGTACTCTACAACAGACAATGAAACATTAGCAGAGGACAAGTAAACCATTTAGGACATCCACCTGGAAGCTAGATGGCTATTAACCTCAATAATTGCCAAAAACCAAACATGTCCAACAGCATGAATCATCTATGCTACAACACTAACACACTCAGATCATTCCACTTGAGCCCAGAAGCTTTGTCTAGAAAGAAACACAGAATTCTCATAGTATGAAAGAGCAGATGGGAAGTTGAGGCACCAGGCCTATAAAGAACAAGGACACTCAAGAAAAATTAAAGTATTCTGTCATTCTGTATGCTCTTAATTTGGAGAAAAAAAAAAATTATAAATTATTCCTGATTACCAAGTCCATTATTCCTACTTCAGAAATGAAGTTGTTTGTTGTACTCATGAACAAGGTTCAAGCAGTTCAGTTGACACCACCCAAAAGACCACTGGAAAATCCTGAAAAAAATCGAAAGCAAGCCTCATAATTCTGTATATCCACAGTTCCAGCTCCATCTGACAAAGAATGGGACACAGCCCAGTATGTTGAAGAAGTTGCTCTGCCATAACTTACACATACAGACACTAAACACTGTGTAGGCAGACATATGCTGATTGCACTACAAGCCAAAGGTCATGGATGGCAAGATTACTCCTTCAGAAACCAATCCTGCGCTAGGCGGTTACTCAAGTCAAGAAGTAATAAGAGAGACATCACTAGTGGCAAAAGACAGAAAGTCATATCTCAGGATGTGTGCAAAACTCTCTGCCTGTGTCTTTTGAGAGTGAATCCTTGCAAGATCAAAAGAGGGCAGCAAGTGAGAAAGTGATGCACTTCAAGATGCACTTCAACATGTGCCTTAATGAAAAGCACAACAGGTGAAAAACTCAATTCACTGTGCTGCTTTAATTAGATACAGAGAAACAACACCTAGTGCAGACTGCCACTGAGAAATCAATAAATTGTTCAGATTAGCAGTGATGAAAATTAGTCAGAAAGAAGTGGGGAAACCTAAGGCTCAACAATAACACAGACTCAAGACAGGCACTGTCTGGACTGAAATAATCTCCTCAACAACATAAACATCTGCTACAGATTATTCAAAGGAGCCTGTACACACCAAGAAACAGAGGGAGAGTTCGAACTACATTCAGAGAGATGTAACCGATAGCAAAGCAATGAAGAAGCATTCCTACAGTAAAGGAGAACAAAATCCATCCAGTTCAAACCGTCTATCCTGTAAGAAAGAAAGGCAGGTCAAGAACTGAATAAATGAAAAACGTGTTGTGAGTATGTGTCCCTTGTCAGTGAAAGAAAATCTGTCTAGTCAGCATGTACACTTACGTAAAGTTTTGAATGTGACTGAAATGCATTTGGCAGTACCAACTGATAAAATGCTTTCCAAGAGCTAAGAATGTGTCCACAGCAAATGAAGATCACCTGAGATATTGCATTACAATTTCCTGTTACTGCAAATCAGTATTTATGACCAAGTGCTTAGTAAGACTACAACTGATCACAAAAAGAACTAGGGAGACATCACCACAAAAATAAAGGTTTTACCTGTTACAGTAACTTCACTTAAGATTGGGATGTGAGTATGAAATAGAGGTTAAAGACCCTGCCCTAAAAGTATCATTATAATAAATGTTTTATTTATGACACATAAAACAACCATTAAAATCTCACCTTCATTATTTATTGAGCAGTACCACAGGGCATTGGCTCTATATTCACTATTCTAATGCAAATGCCATGAAGAATGAACTTAACTTGACAACTTCTAAACATTACTCTGTAAGAAAGATTACACAGCTTCCACATAACTGAAAAAGTCTTCCACAAAATCACATGTATACAATAAACTATGTCAAACAAAGAGACAATCTGAATTGACTCTTTTTCTTCATTTGGGCTGAAGTTACAATGCTAAAAAAAGTTCAGTTATTGAGCTACCATTAATATGACAACAAAATTAAATTAATAGAGCTGCTCAGTTTTCTAATTAATTAGAATCTGGAGTCAAGAAGGCTTATTTTAGAAGCTGAAAATTTATTGTTATTTATAAGAATAGTTTCTCAAAAAAGCAGAACAAGACTGGAGATTATTTCTTATTTAGGAGAATGGCACTATAGACATTTTCCTTCACATTATTACAATTTTAATTCCACTTACTCTGACTTCTTTTCACATGTCTTAGAAGAGTCTTCTATTTTTTTCTCTAGTTCCAACACAAGTTCCTCTTTGCTCAAAAGTGTTTGCTGTGTTTGAATGAGTTCTTCTATTACTGTTTTTAACCTGCAAGACATGCAATACCAAAATCCATTGTGTAAATATATAGAAACTGTACATATTTGGGAACTTTCATTTATCTAAGAAGCATTAATTTTTAATTTTTAAACAGGTCTATACTAAGCTATGTATATCTACAAGGTTGCAAAATGATCTATGCCCACAGGCTCTTCTACCAAGAAAACTTCAGCTATAAATCATGATGAGTTCTGTGGATTAAAGCCTTACAAACATACTGCTGATATCTGAGATGCTTCATTAATTAATAACTTTCTGACTGCGTAAGTACTTTTTAAGTAAATACCCAGAATTGATAGCTGGGATAAAATAAGAAAATAATGAAAGACCTCTAGAGATAATGAAAGAAGAAACAAGTCCTAAATTATTAATTAATACTACGCTTGTTTTAAGAGCAAGCTGCATGCTTCTCTTAACAATTTTTTGGTACAACACAATCTTTGATAACAAAATATGTTCAAATCAAACTATTGTTAAACCAGGAGAAAAGTTTCTAAAGAGTGCCTGTGTGCATTCATATAAAACATAAATGTGTTGATGAGCACCAAAAAGTGGCATACACATCATTATATTAGAAGCTTGCTCCGAAAGTAATGTCTTCTATTTAATTCCATGGAAAGTACAACAGATACAATGAGCACAATAAAACTACTTGATAGAGCAAATTCTTAGCTACAAAATACTATGTGCAACGTAGTCGTCACCATCAGCTACATATCTTCACCAGATTAACAAGTGCCTACATGTCACACTCATCAAAACCTGCAACTGCAGGAGCAACTCAATGTTTCACAGCTGCTATGACAGCACCACCGCATGGGAAAACGTCAACCACACAATCTTTTGCTGACCCAAACGATGACAGTCAGACGGTGCTAAAACAGGACTGTAAGATGGGTATTGTAGTACAGCTCAGCCAAGACTGACAATATGCTCCATTATTTTTCTTTAAACTAGTATGGGGTTTAGTGTTACCAGGTTGCAAGAGAAAGGTTGTCTTCTTCTCTGCCCTGACTCTGGAAGTTCAAGCCTTCAGCTTAGTCAGAGTCATGATACAGCAGTCCAAAGTTAATGGTTTGTCTGGATTCCAGAAAATCCAGAAGGATCACCCCCTCTTAACCCAAAAAACAGCACACACCACTCTACTCATTCAGGGCTGCATCTTGAGCCTTTTCTTTGATGAGGAATTCAAGCCTCCTCATGGACTGTCACTTTGATTCCTGCTTGTAGTGAGGACATCATGTATCATCACTAGTAATCACAAAATTACAGAATTGCAAGGGTTGGAATGGAGATCATCGAGTCCAACCCCTCAGTGAAAGCAGGTTCCCAAAAGTAGGTCACACCAACAGGCATCCAGACAGGTCTTGAATATCTCCAAAAAAGGAGACTCCACAACCTCTCTGTTGTGGAGACCTGTTTCATTGCTTTGTCACTCTCACTGTAATGAAGTTTCTGCTTTCTGTGTGAACTTCTTATGCTCAAATTTTTTGACACTGCTCCTTATCCAACCACAACACACCACTGAAAAAACTCTGGCTTCATCTACTTGCCTCCTGCAATTTAGATACCTATAAATACTGATCAGATTCTTTTAGTCTTCTCCACACTGAACAAACCCAGGTCTCTCAGCCTCTCCTAGCACTGGAGATGCTCCAGGCCCTTTATCATCTTTGTCACCTCCCTACTGGAGTTCTTCCAATAGATCCTTGCCTTCTTTGAACTGGGGAGTTCAATACTGGACACAATATTTCAGATGTGGCCTCACCAAGACAGACTAGGGGGAGAAGATCACCTCCCTCAATCTGCTGGTCATGTTCTTATTAATGCATCCCAGGATATCATCGACCTTCCTGGCTACAAGGGCATACTACTGGAAATGTAATGATGTATTTCAGGAAAATGATATTGTCTGTCTTGTAACAGCTGAAATTCTTGGCTGGTTTCCCACCTGAAATTGAATCTGGCAAAGGAGGTAAAAGTTAGTAAGAAAGGTTTTTTTTAAGTATGTCAACAGTAAAAGGAAGGCTAGGGAAAATTGTGGATGCCCTATTAAATGAGGGGGGTGCTGCGGTAATGGAGGATGCTGAGAAGACGGAGATACTGAACGCCACCTTTGTTTCTGTCTTCAATGCAAAGAGTCCTCTCAGGAATCCCAGACCCTGGAGGTAAGTGAGAGAGTCTGGGAATGCAAGGATCCTCTTTAGTGAGGGAGGAGACGGTCTGAGAGCGTCCTGGCAACATCAGTGTACACCCACGGGCCCTGATGGGATGCATCCATGTGTGAAGAGGGAGCTGGCAAAGGTGACTACTGAACCACACGCTATTATCTTTGAGAGGTCTTGGAGAATGGGAGAGATGCCTGAAGACTGGAGGACAGCCAGTGTCAATGGTGGACAACAGGCTGACTGTAGGACAGCAGTGTGGTGACCAAGAAGGCCAAAGCCATCTTGTAGTGCAATTAAAAAGAGCGTGGCCAGCAGGTCAAGGGAGGTTATCCTCCACCTCAACTCCTTCCTGGTCAGGCCTCACCTGGAGTACTGTATCCAGTTCTGGGCTGAGTGATCTTGGTCTGCTCAGCCTTGAGAAAATCAGACTGATAGGAAAACTGATCAATGACAACAAATATTAAAGGTGCAGGAGGTAAAGGGGTAAGGCCAGATTCTTTTGTGATCCTGGTGATCAGACAAAGGGGACGCAGCCACAAACTGAAGCATAAAAAGTTCTGCGCAAATGTGCACAAGAACTTCTTCATGGTAAGGGTAACAGAGCACTGGAACAGGCTGCCCATGGAGGTTGTGGAATTTCTTTCTCTGGAGATATCCAAGACCCACCTGGATGTCTACCTGCGCAACCTGCTGTAGGGAGCCTGCTTTGGCAAGGGGTTGCACTTGGTGATCTCTAGAGGTCCCATCCATCCCCTACAATTCTGTGATTCCATGAACAGCCCAGTAACATCCTGACAAACTGGCACACAGTGTTCTTTCTGTTCCTATGTAAGAATTCATGAGATCCACCTGCACAAACTTTGTGATATTCCAACACTGTCATCATTGTTCCCAACACACTGCAGCCAATATATCAGCTCTGTACAGAGTTTCCTTGTCATAATCCACCAGTTTGTACAGATGAACCCATCAACATGCATTTCATGGTGGGAAATCTGCGTATGGCCACCTGGTACGTGGCTTATCTTTCATGTCTCTGTCATCACTGCTGAAACACCACCCCCTCAATGCGCTAATATCCATTGTTTGGTATCCACAAATGCTGAGCAAGCATCAAAGAATGTCAGTGGGTGCCATTTTTTCCGTATGGAGAAATTCCATGACAAATCTTTGCTTCATACACAATTCCATGTCAGATGCCATTCTGTCACACCACTCCTCTTCTGCCAGCTGTTGCACAGCAACAAAACATAATGGAATACCAGGGGGAATGTTCAAACCCTACTGCCATACCCCCAACATCTATTTGCAATGTCGTGGGCCAGTATAATAAAATAGGAGGCATTACTTTCAGAGGAGCATGAATGTGCACACATATGTGTACAGAGTGGAACGAGCAAAACACATACAGTACATACTACTACACAGATATGCTGCCCTAAGCCATCCCAGAATGGTGACTATCCTAAGTCATCCCAGAATGGTTAAGGACAACAGAGCAATTTACAGAGACTCTATGACCTATGTCCAGTGTGTCATTTATACCAAAATAGTTTGATCTTAATAGTGAACTAGTTTTCCTGCTGTATTTTACACAGCACACAAAAGAATATACACAACATACACAAACGAATATGTTTAAGCATACTCTTTCTTCAGACAGTACTAGAAAATGCAAGACTTAAATGACTACAAAAAAGCCACATAGTGTATGATAATAACTTGCTTCCCAAATGAACAAGCATCTGCATTTTTATTTTTAGAAAAAAGCAACACATTAATATCTCTTTTTCTAATAAGCAGTTTTACTGTTACTAGATTATTAAAATCTGTACACTGAACTTCTCAGAAATAACAATTCTTACTGACTCTCTGATTTAATATCAATTATCAAATGTTTATACCTTGCTTAAAAATTAATTATCAATTCTTTAACTGAAAACACTGTTGGTTTTTTTGGTCAGCTTTCTAATCAGTATTTTAATCAACACTGTATTTGGCTTAGCAATTAAAATAAAGGAAACAGATGTTACATCTATTACATCTACAAATTTGCAAGTAAGATCAATATATTGCATTCTTAACTTGACTTCTTAAATACACATTCTGCATGTACTGAAACAATATGAAACTGATTGATGGTCCTGAGTTTTAAAATCACTGGCTTTGTTCACATAAATTCTATGTCAGAAAGTTTCTGCAGAGGAGAACAAGCTTCAGTATATACCAAATATAGATACAGCAAAAGCACAAGCATTCAATAAGTTAAAACCAAGCTAATAAGACTGTTCATCACTGTAATATATGATTGTACACATGCAGAACCAACACATTGAAATGCTTTAAAATTTCAAAAATATCTTATTTTATATGACAGCATGAGATTGAAACAGAGTATCAGCGTGGTTCTTTTGAAAATTTCTGAGACTGTAATGGCTGACAATCATAAACTTTCATTGTTATGCTTTTTGGAATTTCCCTTTACCACTCCAAGAAAATCATCAATGTGTATCAGGAGACACCACATCTTCCACACTACTTAGAAAGATGAACCAGTCAACATCAACTTCCACCTAGAATGACAGAATCCTTAAGAATTGGAAGGAACCTTTAAAGGTCATCTAGTCCAACTTAGCTGCTATGAACAGGAACATCCACAGCTTCTATTCTAAAAATATTATCATACCATAAAACTTGTCTTTCAAATGCACAAAAGAATTTGAAGTGGATGAACATCGAGCTTATAAAGAATAGACAGGAGGTTGTACTGAAAATGTGTTTATCTAGGCAACTATGTAGGTGCATATTTACAAATATAAATAGATAGAACCTTGACAATCTTTTTTACAAGAAAACTGCAGTTTCATATGTTTTACTTAGAAATACTAATGTTTTATTCATAAAAGCAAAAAAGTTATTAATTTTTTTGAACTACTGAATGTGGAATCTTAGAAAAACATAAAGATGGATCAAAAAGACTGATTTAATAAGTGTATTTTTCCTGTTACTGAGCTAAAGCTGATTTACATGTACAATGTTTAAATACTCAGGGATGATCTCAGTTTGGTAATAAATATATAAATAAATTTATAAATAAATAAATATGTTAGAAGCATGCTTAAAGAAGGAAGGGGTTTTAACTATTGTAGGACTATTTGACATGATAGATGCAGCTCTTTGAGTACAAAGAAAGAGGAGTTTAACAAAGAAAGTTAAAAATTTACATTTGAAAACTTATTTCAATACCTATTTAAGAATGAATTTATGAAAAGATATGCTAGTAAGTGACCTTGAAAAATAAATGAAAAAAATCCAAAGAATCTCTCATGGTGAGGAAGAATAAGGATTAGAATAATCTATGGAAGATACAGTGTAATGTTTGTGTTCCAAATATCTCAGCTGCTATGAGGATTCCCTATAACCTTGGTTTTCAGAATAATCTACAAGAAACAATTTGATTAAGCAGAAAAGAAGTTAAAAACCACAACTCACCACTGATCTTACTTGGACTAGTTATGCCTTCTATAGCTTATAAGCATGTCAAGCACAGATATACAGAAGAGACATTAAAGAACCACAAACCAATCATTATTCTCACTTAACAGTTTTAAATTGCTATAAGAAATATTAACTGTACTTGTATGTATATTTTAATCTTTGAAGCAACTACAATGGGCTATTTTATGGAAAAGCTAAGGTTGATAAAATAATGAGAATACACTAAGAATAATAACCTCAGCAGAAGAATTGAATGCCAGTGGCAACTGACTAAAGGTAAAGCTGGTAAAATTAATGAAAAGATTTAAATATGTAATAACCAAAATATGTAAATATGCATTTTATCACTGTAAATAAAGTTCCCATGAAACATAATACAAAAAGTATACTTGCTTTAACAAGTTAATATATTTTAAACTCTAATAATGGACTTCCTTTAGAAAACAAAAGCAAACAGAAAACAAGTGAACTACCACATTTGTGAAATTTCTCTGGATGATAATATAAGTCACTAATGACATCACTGTACTCAATGGCTTCACCAGTGGATTCTGGTACTTTTTCCTGGAGTACTAAATGTGGAAACAGTTTTGGGAAGGTAAATAAATGTTTAAGGAAGATTGATGATGCATTTGTGTAAATTTGTGTAATGATGCACTGTGTAAAATAACTGCAGAAGAAGTGAAACTATACTGAAAGTGTTGGCAAGTATTCAGAAGGTCTGGGTATGTTGTGCAAGCGAACAATAAGAACAGAAATCAGTAACAGTTTTTACAGCTTGAAAATAATGATTTGAGAAAACGGACCTTAAAAATGAGCACACAGCAATACAGTGAATTGAATAAGCATTTAATATAAACTATGACAGCATTTCCAAAGGATGAGATTTTTGAAAAAGACAACTTACATGACTTGTAAACTTTCTGCTGTTAGGTTATTCCACATGATCTCATTAGCTTGAAGGTTTTCATTTTCTTCTAATAAGGATGTATCAAATTCTATTTCTTGTTCAACAACTTCTGAAGATCTAATTCATAAAATAAATATTGCATTTATTAAATTGGAATATAGTTAAAATAGAACATAGTTAACATAGAAAATAGTTAAAGAATAGAAAATAGTAATTGTATACACCTTCCTTATCCTTTGAACAAAGAATACAGTCTTAAAAACACCTGAGCATAAAATAAAGTACAATTTTTTGAATTAAGTTCATAGGAGAACCAAAGTTTCTCAGAAGACATCTGTTTGCACAGGCCATTGACCCTGCTATAAACCTGCACTTGACAATTACCAACTCACATATGTTAACAATACAGTATAAACTAAGGGATCTTAGAACTATTTCCATATGTACCTACGTGGAGTTACAGCTCAGTAAGTAACAAATGCAGTATATTTAAAATGCAGTAATCACAACATAGATTGTGATGCCTAACATTCACTTTATTCACACACACACACAATCAGGATAGTGAGAAGAATAAAGCATAGACACGTAGCACTATAATGGATGCAAACCAAATACACAGCAAATTAGATTGCACTGAAGCTGGATGATAATTTATAGTCCACTGTCAGTAACCAAGCTATTACTTTTCACATGCAATAACATTAACATGGATTTTGTTTTTCTACAACAGTCAAAGAGGCGGCTGGTTGAAAAACATCTAGCAGCATTCTGTACATGCAAGTAGAACAACTTTTCAAATTAGGATAAAGTTTTATAAGTAACAAGGTGAAAGAAAAACAAATTCAAGTCTGATCACTCAAGCAGTATTGCAGTTCAATGCAAGACTTACTCAAAAAAATACGAACATGCACACTAAGATAAAAATGTGTACCTGTGAGTATCTATGAAGTCATTATACTCAGAATTAGGGTCTATCTGTTCAACCGAAGTCTGGATCTCTTTGTGGACATTCACAATCTCTTCTGTAACAAGACTGGTGATCTGGCTATACTCATCCAAGATTCCTTTTCTAGAGAGGAAAAAAAATTCTAGTATGACATGGCACTGAAGGCATAGATGGTATTGGAGATGCTTCAAAGTTTCAGTTTGCTGTTTCTATAAATTCTTGTTGCAACTGGCTAAAAAGGGAAAAAATAAGACAATGTATATTACTTAAAGCAATAACAGAGCATTTGTGGCCTTTTCTTTACAAATTGGTTAGAAGTGGAGATGTCTCTAATACCACGATCCTTGTATTGATTACACAGAGAAGATGAACTAAAGCTGCAGAGATTATAAGAAAAAGGAACGTACATAACTTATTGATGACATTCTTTCACAACCAGAGGAATCATCGTGCTTGTCATAAGCTACGCTACAGCATCTCATGTACTCCTGAATAACAAAATACATTCTGAAACATTGAAGAGTGAGAATTTCCCTTAACAATTTTTTTTGTTCATTATTATTTATCCTTTATCACACAGTTATGTTATGAATTTGTTGTTTAGACAAAAACAAGCACACCTCTTTTTGACATGTTAACTAAAAAAGGAAAAAACATCAAAGAGGAAATTCACACAAGAAAGTACAAGCCATTCAGCCTACTAGTCAGTTCCAGAAGTGGGGAAAATAAACTCTGTGATTAATGGTAAGTGGTAAAAGAACAGGCAGTATTTTACCACAAATTTTAAGAGCATCCAGTGAGCATCCATTTCCTCAGAATACTTTCCTGCTCTCTCTGTTTCAGCTTTCCACAAAAGAACTCTCTTTTTTTTGTGACAAATTTGCCGGCTTGCCAGGTGTTGAAGCATGGCAAGACTTTTAAAATACTCATGATTTTAGCCAGCCAAGAGGAAAACACACAGAAAGAGGTAAAAATACATTTTTCCTGGGTATGATCTTTAACTATGTTTACTCAGTAAAAAACATTAATTGCTTGGATTTTTCCAGTATTTATTCTGAGGAGAAAAGGGACAAAGTAAGTCACTAAATCTTGCCTTGCCGGTGAATGTGTCTGAAAAAGCTCCAGAAAACAGTTCAAAGAGTGCAACAAGCCAATATCAGCTACAACAATGCTATATCTAAAAGAAAGGGAATCAATGACAATTACTGTCTATCTACATAAAAACCAAACCAGCTGGTCTGCAAAATCAAAACTATTAAGGAATAATATGGCAACAACACCAAGTTCCACATATGAAATCACTGTTTCTTTTTTGCAGAATTAATTCATGATATCAGAAATCAGTAATTTCCCAATCAATTCAGATTTAACTACAGAAAGTTTTAAAATTGACAAAAATACTTTTCAAGCTTGTATTCACAGACAGCAAATGCAAGTGGGCTCAATAGTCCCTCTTTATACAATAAAATTCTTCAGTGTATTACTTTAACTCACATTTCTGGGAAAAAAAATCAACTTAATTACAATACAGAAATTTAAGTGTGTTCTCTTGTGATTCTGCATACGTTAAGATTAAAAAGACTTACAGTATTACAGAGGTCTATTTAATTTAGATTCTTGCACCAGAGTTAATGACAGTAATACAATAATACTGATAACGGGGCCATTAATGTCAGCTTCCCACAAGCGTATCATAACAGAACCCTGGAACAGGCTGCCCAGAGTGGCTGTGGGGTCTCCTTCTCCAGGAACATTCAAAACTTGCCTAGATGCATTCTTGTGTGACCTAATTTATGTATTCCTGCTCCAGCAAGGGCACTGGACTAGGAGATCTTCCAAGGTCCCCCCAATCCTGACACACTGTGATTATGTGACACTGAGCAGAAAATCTTTAATTCTCCCTCATTTCCTATTTGTGACATAAATACAAACACATATTTCTGTAAAAGTAAGTAAATGAGTTACAGAAGATTGCCTCATATCTAACTGAACAATAGCTATAAAAAAGAAGTAATAATTTTGTCTTTTAGTGACTTACAAAACACCTAAGAAGAGGACCTAACCAGCTCTTCAAGAACTCTTCAGGAAAATCACAGAAGCAGCATGGCAGCTACAGACCAGAAAAGAAGGCTTGATGTCTGTTCTCTAGGATAATCAATTTACACATCTTCTGTCGTGATGCAGAGAATGATCTTCCAGGGAAAAGGTATTTTAAAAATAAAGGTTGGATTCCTCACAGTAAGGTTAGGTTTACATGATCCTATTATTTCCCCACACATTTGACCCTGCATCTGTCCGCCTCCAGAATGACTGTCAAGATGGCCGGACAGTTTTAGCAAAGGTTTTTAGTGGCAAAATTTTATAAAAATGAGACTACTACAAAGGTAACAAACTTCTATATTATTCCAGATGAAGAAGAGGATAAATTGTAAACACTGTAATTAATCTCTTAAATTGAAAAATTAAAACAGTGTCAAGCCAAAATGCATAAATAATCCCTCCAAACTACTGTCTGTATTTGAATAGACTTTCTTACGCACAATTATTGTCTACTGAAAGTTTAAAACAGCTTTTTTCAGTACCCATGATATATTAATTAATTGATTGCAATTCACTAATTTTTAACTATGCAATAAAATAGAATACTACACACATTTGCAAGTTAAAATATGTAAGGAAGTATCTTACAGGGCTTTAATCATTTCTTCTTGCATTTTCTGTAGTGAATCAAGTAACAAAGGAAGCGTAGTGTCATAATATTGGTGCTGATACAACTGTGCTCCTTTCAGTGCCAATACATACTGATTATGCAACATATGAAGCTTCATAGTGGCTTTATCACATCGATCTTTGGCTTTCTCAGTCTCCTTTCCTAGGGGAAAACAGAATCAAAACAAAACAAAAAAAGAAAAGGTGAATTAAAAGTACACAGATTTGTGGGTGGCATGAATCTAACTGATATCTAATTGATTCATAATAGGTTTGCACTTTATTTTTAAATTATTATCCTACAGAAACATCAATCCAAGATATTTGACAATACATGGAGTTTTTTTATTATTATTAGTTGGAAATACAACTTTTCCAAAATATTTTGCTGAAGAAATAAATTTGACCATTCTGAAGTTTCTAATACAACCAAATCTCTTGGTTTTCTTATTCCAGGTAAGAAAAAAAACTACTTTTACTTTGACCAGAATTCTTTATCTAAAAGTACATGAAAACCACTGTATATTCTGGTATAGAAATAATATAACTGTCAAGAATAAAGACTAAAAAATTCACACACGCAACTACTGAAACACTAACATTTCATTTGCCTCAAAGCGAACAAACATTTTAAACGAGGAAAATAAGAGATGTCTTGCTAGCTGAGATTTACACAGAAGCTATCATTTATTTTGAGTAAGCACTCTAGTGCTACATATCATCCCAAGCAAGCACTGATGCAGTCTCGTATTAGTAGCTGAACTGCAGCACTGTTACTCCTGTACAAAACTCTCAGCTCTACTATAACTTAACATTTCCTCATCACTGTCAGTACACTGATCAGGAGCTCAACACTGCATCTTAGCTCTATCAGATCAGTTCAGTGCTGAACCAGAGAGCTACAAGGTACTTCAGGAGGTCATCTACTCTACTCTTAGCCACAGTAATTACACAGATTCATGACATGTCTTCCTAAAATCTCCAGTGATAGCTATGCAGTTTCCCAGTACTAATCAGGCCTGGTGCTGTGCGAGCTCAAAATACACCCTCATTATATAATTCCTTCATTCTCCACTACAAATTTATAAATTTAAACTGTTGCTTATTTTACCAATGTGTGACATGAAAAATAGATTCTACAGCCCTCTGTAATTCATCTTTTATGTAGCAGAAGATAATGCACTCTCCTTTTCCACCCAATCTTTGTGCCAAATGGCTCACAACTTTACACAAGTGTAACCTCAGGTAAAATTCAACTTTGGAAGCCAAAGGGTAAATCACGCTCCTACTTCTCCCAAAAAACAAACCAAAAAAAGCTTTTTTTGAACACCATACAATCGTGTTATAAGGATAGGAGGCAGTTGATATAGCTACCTTAAACTTGTTTCAGTTTTCAGATCATCCAGGAAAGGCAATGATCACAATTACTTAATAAAGAAGAAACAGCTCACCCTTTTCCATGGATCAGGGCTCACTAGAAACTCCCGGAGAAGGAGATCTCCGAACAGAGATGCTTCCTTTTGGCTACCAGCCCTAAAATGAGGTTAGAACCCAGAGTCCATCCGTTCCAGTCACACAGGTGAATTGCTTGCATCTATGCTCCCAGTGCTCAATCACTGGTTCAGGTTGTGACTTAAGGGTTCCCACAAACGTTAGCACTAAACATATATATATGTATATATACACACACTATTTATTTCTAGACATCTCTTGAGTTTCTTGAATGATCTGAAAGTCTATAGCTGTCCTCCTGTGCACTTTAAATTCCCTTAAGGTATACTGATACTTGTAAATTTAACAATCAAATTCTGGATCCAAGTGATGATACACTGAAAGACCGCCCACATCTAATCCCAACATATATCCTGCATGATACATTATCCTGATAGGAGCCCCTTAACATCTATTCACCAACCAGCTTTATGCTGACAGATCTGCACCTCTACTAGGATATTTCCAACCTGATCATGCGCTGCCCTTATCATCGTCATGAAAGGATAATTATATTGACAGTTCCTCACTGTGACTTATAAGATCGTCCCCATATCCTTGTTATAAATAATCAGATACTTATTAATTGTCTGATTACTTCTTCCAGGAATTAAAAGCATTTTAAATGAATCTTTATCTGCAATTATCAAGTGCGGATTCACAATTATCTGCACAAATTAACATACACTAACTAGAACAATCTCATTTAAGCTGCTGCATTTCTTTTAATTTTACAATAAATTAAATAATAAAAGACTATTTTATCATGTCAACTACACATCACAAAGCATTACAGAAAAGAAAGATACAGTTTTTAAAATTAAAAACCTTAATGTATATCTTGAAAAGCTGAAATTTTGTTGAACAAGAAACAGACAAAGGACTGGACTGTATATTCTGATAAAACACAGAAATACATTAAGGCATGTCAAAAAAAGTTGAGAGACAAACTTCTACAGCAATAACAAATTGGTCCTCTTTCAAATACACAGGAGTCAGTAAGCTTGTCAGAAAGCCTACATGATAGCTACATAGAAAGAGCTGGTAGGAAAGAAAAAAATGTGACTATTTTCCATTCATGTTCATTACAAATGACGTTCCGAATTTTCCATGCTGAAATGTCTCCCTGTGAAAGAGATAAACAATCTTTCCCAGGAGGCGTCAGAAATTAGCAGGACTGGAAGCTGTTTAGCTTTAGAACTCTGAGGGTATCTGGGAACATTGTAACAGAAATACTATGATCAATTTTTAAAGCAAGAAGTAGGGACTCAGTGGGTAGCCCTCAGAAATATTAGCTGGGGCTTAATATATGAGATGATGAAGATGCTGTTGAAGATGTTGACTCAAGCAAATTAAAAAAAATCATGCTTCACTGGAAGACTTTTTTTTGTTTTGTTTTGCCAAAACATAAGAATACTGAGCTTTTTGATCTCTATCAAACCTGTATCATTTGCAGGGCAGGAGAAAAACAGCTTGGCCAGAATAGTATTCCAGAACGTAGAAACTGCTGAACGCATCTGACACCAGTGTACCAAGACCACAGGACAGTAGGATAGCGTAGTATTCCACTTTCCCATTCTTCAAGTACTTGGTTATATTACCCCCTAACAAAAGACTTCAGCAAATCTGAGAATGAATCGAAGTGTAATATACACTCAGCTTTCAAGTACAGTAGGCTAAGGCATCAGTTTGGCTGTTGATAGACAAAACACATACCAGATGGTGTTTGTGGAGAATAGCAGGCATGTGAACATGTAAAGATAATGGAAAACAACAGAATACTGTTTGTAGGGGAAACCATCAAGTAGTACTGAGAGTTCTGGAACTGCATGAAAGAGGACAAGGCAGCTGGAACTCCAAACTGGAACAACTCAGTTTTGCTTAAACACAGCCTAACCCTTGCACTGCACTGAGAACTCCTTGGGAAACTGGCAAAGGATGTCAAGATGGCAGCAGAGAAAGAAATGTTGGACTGTTTAGGTTATATAAACAAAAATTATCTCCAAATATTACAGTAGAATGAAGAGCTTAAATCGTGCAGCTTGTCCACACGTCTTTAAGCTGCATACTCTATCAGTTAAACAAAAATCAACATACGTAAAACCAAACAGAGCTCCATCAGTAAACATCACAACAGAGAGCTTTCAACAGCTAAGCTAATCACACCACTAATAATCACAACTACATAACTAGAGACTATCAGCACTGTATCACTTTCATGACACTTGTTAATAGCTAAACTACTCCTTTTTATGCTGTAAGAACTAAGTGCCTTTGCTACTCATTACTCATTGGGAAAATACCTCCAAAAATTCCAAACTAGATCAACTTACCATACACATTCTACTTTCAAATGCAGTCTCTGAACATGTAATTAACAAAAAAAAAGCAGCTGCAGTACTATTCCCATCCTTTATTCTTTAAAACAGAAAAATGCAGTGAGGCAGAGTACACAGTTGTTCTATGTGTCAATTTACATTGAGGAAAACATCAAATTTTTCTTATCTATATACAGAATGTTACAGATAGATATAATCCTACCACCATCAGTCATCAAATCTGTTCAATGTTTATAGAAACAAACTGAGTGTACAATATGTCAGGTCACAAACAGTACCGTGCAGCTTGAAAAATTCAATTATAAAAATTTGACATTTGCAAAGAAAAGGTTGGCATTCTTGTTAAACTATTCCAGAGAGTCAAGTATTCCAATTTCTGTTTAAAACTGTTGTATTTAGTACAGGAGCCATCCAGAAAAACTCTCATAGGGTATTTTCTATTAGAAGCACAGATTTACTTACAATGGCAAAATGTTAACTGGATAACTCTTTAGAACTAAGAAAAAATCAGCTCATAAATTTTATCATATTTTAAATATGTATTAATCCACAGTGAAAACATGTCAAAGAAATTGACCTTCAGAAAATAAATATTGCACAGGCAGAAAAAAATTCATATATATTTTGGATTAAAAAGACATAATTCTACTAAGGAGCTCAATTTTTTGTCCTTACAATTTTTACCCTCAATGTTTAATGTTTGGTCAAAAGTGTTAAATAAAGGCTTAAAATCTTTTATATGTTCACTATTTTTAGCTACCACCAACTTCAATAAAATTTAACATTTGTGTAATTTCCAAATTTACATTACAGTTAATACTGTTCTCTTGAAATTCTTAAACTGTAATACTTTGACATACAGTGCAACATATTCACTCATTTGCACACAAGGATCCATCTACTGAGGGGTGATATCTGTAGTACAACACTTAGGAACTAGCAGAAGTTTAGCTGTTCAGATTTCATATTCAGCTTCATGGTAGTGTGGGTTAAGAAATAACCAATACTCTATTGTTTCTGCAACAGCAGATTCCAGTTAAGATTTCCAGTTTAAGAGTTTCAGCTAAATATTAAGTAATATCCCACAACACAAGTGAAGATCCGAGAGATAAAATCATTTTATTATAAATTTATCCTTTTGAAAGAGAAAATGCATGCAGTGAAAATCAAAGGTTTGACCAACATGGAATTCAAAGCATTCCTCTTGAAATCAAAAGTTCAAATATAAACATTTTGGATAGCTCAAACACAAAAAGTGGTTACGAAGAATTCTGAAACTGAATGTTCTACGAAATAATTGCTTGGTATCTACATAGAACATCAGCTAGTAGGA